ATTAACCTCTCTCTTTGAGCGATGCGTCTCGATAATCTTCTTTTAAGTTTCTTGATTTGCTTGGTTAATTCTATTGCTGGGTTTGGACTAAAACTAGGACTCATACCCGGGGATCGTAAGGGTCTTACTATAAATCCTAAACCAGGGATTGCCCCATCTATTTGAACAAATTCATTTTGGTTATTCATGTTTATTCACGCTATTCCCCCCCCCACAAGAAAACCAAATATGAGTAATAATCCAGAGCATTATGGCAATCCCTATCAACTTTTACTAAAATTTGATAATATCCTGATTTTAAATCAAATTTAGAAAATATTACTTTATAATAAACTCTATAAATTATTTGTATTAGACCGGATTCTTCATCTACGATTTCCTCGGGGATTTGTACATATAATTTTATAGCATCACTTGGTCTTATCATTTTTAATATTCATTGAAAAATTTGGATAACGAGTTAAAAAAGGCAGGGCCATGATGTAAATTACTTTCTAAAATAGCAATTATGGAGTTATTAAATTTTTTAAGTCTTATATCTCTTAATAACATTAATATTGGACTATTTACTCCTATTACAGTAATTTGGTTTTGCTGCTACTTGTATTAATCCTAAATGAATAAAATTATATCCATCTTTTATATGTTGATCTAAAATTGATTTTTCTAAAATATTTATTATCTTATTATTTTTTGTTCCTGGGTAACTATTATATCTCTTATTAAGTCTTATATCTCTTATTATATTTTATTAAGTCTTATATCCATCCCAGGAACAAAAAATAATAAGATAATAAATATTTTAGAACAATCAATTTTAGATCAACATATAAAAGATGGATATAATTTTATTCATTTAGGATTAATACAAGTAAAGCAAAACCAAATTACGAATAGGAGTAAATAGTCCAATATTAATGTTATTAAGATATATAAGACTTAAAAAATTTAATGACTCCATAATCGCTATTTTAGAAAGTAATTTACATGATGACCCTGCCTTTTTTAACTGTTATCCAAAATTTTCAATGAATATTAAAAATGATAAGACCAGTAATGCTATAAAATTATATGTACAAATCCCTAAGGAAATCGTAGATGAAGAATCTAGTCCAATACAAATAATTTATAGAGTTTAATATAAAGTAACCAGAATAGACTACAACTATAAAGCTTTAAGGTCTTCTCCAAAAGATGAAACCATATTAGTAGAAGCCAATCTTAGGAAATCATCAGTTCAAATCCCAAAAAGACTAAGTCATGAAGAAGTAATAAGTAAAATTCCGGAAGAATGGAAATTAGAAGATATTATAGAAGAACCAAAAGTATATAATACAAAAATTAGAGAAATAATTCAAGATGGAACTAATATTAGATCAAGAATGAATAGATCATTATCCTTTAAAAATAAAGAACCTCAAATGATAAATAAAGGACAATCTTCAAGACATTCAGTTGATGGATCAACAATAAATTTAGATTTGAGAGGATTAAACAATATTACACCTAGAGTAACAAAGCCCGTATATGAAGAGTCAAGGGGAACAGAATCTCCTCAATACTCTCCAACATCTTCACAAATATTAAATACTATAAATAGAGAGGCGTCCTTTAGTATAGATAAAAATTGGATTAAAAAAGACTTTGAGGCAGAATATAATAAACAAAATAGAGACTGGTATTTTAAAACGTTTACAAAACAACAAACATAAGAATTTAGAAAAAATTTCTATAATTATTTAGAACAAAATGAAATAAATTTATATTTTTTTGATTGGTTCTTTAATTATAGTCAAGAAAAACATATATATATATATCCTTTAGAAAAAATAACCAATACATGGAAAACTATTAATAATGAATTAATAACATCGGAGTATCCTCCACAACAGGGAATTATCATAAAACCTACAAAAGATTTAGAAATAGAAGCGAGTCCTTATAAAGATGTTAAAAGTGAAGAAAAACCAGTACAAATAAAAGATATAAAAAAATTACATTCTCAATTAAATTATTCCAACACTGTATTAGAAGTTATGACGAAACAATTAACTAGAATAGAAAATAAACCCTTAAAAGATATACCCAGTAGTTCTAAAGAACCCATAAAACCAATATATAAATTGTTTAACGTACCCCAAAAAGAATTAGATTCATTAAGATTAAAAAGTAGCACTGATATACAAAATAAAAGAATTAAAAAAGAAAATAGAACAAATAGGAAATACTTCTATAAATACGATAGAAGTAAATAAAATGAGAACATATCCGAAACTTAGAAATTATTATTCTAGACCCACTTTTGCTGATGTACAATTCGAAGAAAGAGGAGAGTTAGTACAAAATTCCTTCTCAGGGAATGATATAACTGAGTGAAATTTAGATGGATTAAGTGAACAAGCAATATTATATTTAACTTGTCAAATGACCATGGCGGCTACCGCCCATAAATCCAAAGGATGTAGTGATAAATCTGCTGTTATAGTGATAATTCAAGGATTCACTGGTTAATTGAAAGGCTGGTGGGATAATTTTTGCACAGAACAAGATAAATTATCAATTTTAAATAGTATAAAAACCGATACAAATCAAGAAGATGCAGTAACTACTCTAATATACTCAATTATACAAAACTTTGTAGGAGATCCAAATATATTTAAAGAAAGATCAGCTAGCCAATTAGCAAATTTATATTGTCCAACCATGTCAGATTATCGATGGTATAAAGATAATTTTTTTTATAAAAAATAACTTTAAGAGAAGATGGATTTGCAGGATTTTGGAAAGAGAGATTTCTAGTTGGATTACCTAAATTATTCTCAGAAAAAAGTAAAAATAAACTTCGAAAGTCATTATGGTAAACCTATAGCGTATGATACTCTAACTTATGGACAAATACATAATATATTCGTAGAAACCAGTATACAAGTTTGTACTGATTTTAAGTTACAAAATAAACTTAGAAAAGAAAGTATGGTTAATAGAAGGGAAATAGGAAATTTTTGTCAACAATATGGTATGGAACCAATTAGAGCCCCTAGTGCTAGAAAAAAGAAGGTGATTAAACGACAAGAAAAAACATACAGAAAATCTTATAGAAAACCTTATAGGAAAATTCAAGAAACTGAAAATAAAGATATAGAAAATAAAACTAAAATGACAAGAAAACCCAAAAAGAAAAAGAATGTATGTTGGAAATGTGGAAAACCAGGACATTATGCTAATAATTGTAAAGTTATAAGAAAAATAAATCAAATAGAAGATGAAAAATTAAAAGAAAATTTATTAAATATTCTAATTAATTCTGAAGAAGAAGAATCCAATAGTTCTATAGAAAATGAAGATAGTGAATTAGAAATAGAACAGATCGAACAAGAATCCTCTAGCGAAGAAGAAAAAATTTCAGAAGATAATTATTGTTTAGACCCAGAATTATGTAATTGTTTAGACTGTAAAAATATAAATATGTTAACAAAAGATCAAACCTCTACCTTAATTTCTATAATAGATCAATTAGAAGAATCTCCCTTAAAAACTTAATTTTTACAACAGTTAAGTAATTTAATAACACGTAGTGAAGAAGTACAGAAAAACATAAACCCAATAAGTATGAAAGAAATTTATAATAGATTTAAAAGTCCGAGCCAACAAATAACTATAAAAGATTTACAAGAAGAAATTAAAACCTTAAAACAAGAAATACAAATATTAAAAGAAAATGATGTATCTTTAGAATATAGATTATTAGAATTAGAAGGAAAAGAAATCATAAGGAATCAAGAGAAAAATATAGAAGGATCTAGTAAAATTGAAGATTTAAACGAAGAAAGCTATATTAGTTTATTAAATTTAATGCCTACTCACAAATGGCATGTAGAAATCACTTTAATCATAAAAGAAGAAAAATTTAAAACAATAGCTTTAGTAGATTCTGGAGCAGATGTAAATTGTATTCAAGAAGGATTAATTCCTACAAAATATTATGAAAAAACTTTAGAAAAAGTAACTAGTGCCAATGAGTCAAAAATGCATATACAATATAAACTATCTAACGTAAAGATATGTAAAAATAAAGTTTGTTATAATACTTCCTTTGTATTACTAAAAAATATGAATACTCCAGTAATATTAGGAACCCCATTTTTAACTTTATTATATCCTTTTCAAGTAATCGAATTAGGTTTAAAAACTAGTGTACTAGGGAAAGAAATTTGTTTTGAATTTATAAAACCGCCAAAAACTAGAGAACTAAATCTATTAAAAGAATATTCCATAAGCCAAGTAGAGATAAATAAAAAATAAATAAATATGTTAAATAAAGAAATAAAATTTAAAAGAGTAGAAGAACAACTAAATAGTCAGAATATTAAAAAAATTATAAAATCATATGAAGAAAAAATAGAAAAAGAAATATGTGAATTAAATCCTACTGCTTTTTGGCATAGGAAAAAATATACAATAGAATTACCATATATAAATAATTTTGATGAAAAACAAATACCTACTAAAGCCAGACCTATACAAATGAATAATCAATAACTAGAATATTGTAAAAAAGAAATACAGGAATATTTAGTAAAAGGGTTAATAAGACCTATAGAAAAATAATAAAATATTTTTAATTAATTACTTTTAAAATAATTAAAATTATAAAAAGTTATTAAAATATAAAATAAAAACAAAAACTTAAAGTTTTTCTTATGCGTCTATCTTCTTCCTTTAACCTTTTTCTTCTTTTTTTCATACCATTTTCTTCTTCTTCTTCTACCACATCAATTTCTTCTCCATATACAATTCCTTCTTCCTTCAACTCTAGTAGGAGAGATTTCTTCTTCCTCCGCATTGTCAATGCAGTGAATCGCTTGAATCACAATAAATTGCTTGAATCTCAGTGAATCGCTTAAATTTGATTAACACTGCAACCTAGGGTTTTCATTTTATATGACATTCCTAATATTTTGGGAATAATGCAAGTGTTGATTGAGTTGTTTGTTGAATTGTTATTTTGATTTTGGGTTACGCTGCTCACTGTGCCTAGGAAGTTCAAGTCCATATACAACCTCACTTTCAGGAGAACAGGTAAATAAATTAATGCTAGAATGGATGTAACTAATTGTTTGAAGTTGATGTTTGTCTTGTGGATCTTATCTTCAATAAGCACCTTTTCCAAGCATCCCTCTCCCTCTTATCTATGCTGGAGAAGTCTCCATGAACAAATCCAGGTTGTTCATCTCCAATAGTAAAACAAGAAGACACATAGTTCAGCAACTCAACCCCTTTGCTTCTCATCCCTGCCATGCTTTCTTTGCCTTCTACATCAACCTTTTTTAGACTCAATAAGGTAAGTTGTGTCTACCCTTTTCGTATACTTTTTACACTTTACAACACAAATAATAATTCTTACAATTTTACTAATCTTCATTAGTGTTACTCGTTGATATATTGTTTGATTTCTGGGTACCCATTATAACTATCAAATAACTTATTTGTTTTTTACTGTTCTGTGAAGATTTAGAAATTATGTATATCAAATTAGATCATATTGATACATTCCTACAATATCTTGAAATTGATTACTTTGTTGGCTTTCGTTCACTCAAGTAAATTCGAGGGTGTTCTTCTTAGTTTATATGTTTAGGGTTGCAAATATTTGACACACCAACCACTGCAAAATCTTGACAACTACTCATCCATTACAATACAAACATTTGGGTTTTCTCTTGGCATTGTTGTGTTGGTGAACTGGAAAAAAGAGTACACATTAATAAATTGAAGTTTCAACTAATCGATTAAAATTATTTATAACATTGATTTTCTCAATACTCTTGGATGCTTTCTTTTCATCATTGGTTGTTATACTCGTGTTTGTTCTTGTTGACATATATGTTATCTTTCTTTCACTCTATAAAATCCAAAGTGTTACAAAACATAGGGTTAAACATTTTCATGTTTATGTACCCATAATAGCAATAATAAGTTTAATGTCAATTATGTCATTATTTCTTAAAAGAAAAATATTTTACGTTATTATTTTTTTGCTTTTGTCCAACTCTATTTATATGTAGTTCTTAGATCATACTTTACGACGTCATTATTTCTTAAAAAGAAAATATTATTTCACACACTCATCCAAGTTAATTACTATGTTATTCTTTTTTCACAAGAGTTACTGTGTAATTCTTAAACCTTACTGCTACAGTTGTTTCAGAAAACTTAATATTTTTTATTTGGGAATATCATTTACACGATATTGTTTAAAATATAAAATATAACGTATTATTCATTTGAATTGATTTAAAATTTGGATTTAAAAGCATAGATAATCTAACTAATTTTTGGTTTTCATAGGAATCAAATTTTTGAGTTTTCTATTCGATGGATCTGATTTAAACATTATGCTCATTAAAAAAAAAAAGAAATGTAATTTTTTTCTTAATTTAATTCGTGAAGGCTACAAGTTTTAGAATATTCATATAACAATAATAAAACTATTTACAATAACCAATGAAAGTGTGAAACTTCTTTTCCTCCAATTAAAGTATCAAATTGATTCGAAATGTTCCTTGTCAACGCATTTAGATCCTGGGATTGATTGTTTCTGAATTTTATTGTTGGACAATTCACCTCAATTTACACGAGGAAGACTAGTAGTGGTCTGAGCTTAAAGGTTCCAACCCTATGCATTCGTATTTATTCTTTAATTAAGCATGATGCAAATAAAAGAACAAATGTAGGTCCTAAATTCTAGGCTTAACTTGAAGTAAATTGAATAATAGAAATTTTGCTTGAGCTATAAGATGCAGATATGAGGTCATCCCATTCCTGGTGAGTTCATGCCACGCGTCCAAACTCATGCCATTCAAATTAAGTTTCTTAATGGCTTGGGTCCCTTGGCTCTTGCGAAACCACACTTGCGTTGGGTCGGATCACCTTTTAGACCCAGAACCGATTCATGGTATTTTGGGTCCTACAATTGAACGGCCCAGATGCATTGATCATAATTACTCACGCTATTTAGAGATGGAAATGTTAGATAGCGAGAGGTACTTTTGTAGAATAGCTTGTTTGTTACATATCAATAGCATGTTCTTCAATTCTTTACATTGAACTCTGAAGCGGTGGCAGATATGAGCAGTATTATTTTTCTTCTTTTTCTTCGTCCTTTGTAATCATTCTTTTTGTTTTGTTTTTTTCATGATTGTATTTTATTAGTCATCATCTTTTTAAGTGGCATATTATTGAATTGTTGGAAAACATACCAAAATTATGAATCGTAGTATAGTATTTCGATGAAATAAAAATCAATCCAACGAGGAACAATTTTAAAGAAATTTTCCAATTATATGTTTTACTAAGTGGATTAAAACAAATTAGGTTTTGCATAAAGAGTTAAATTGAAATTAAATGACAAAGAATTGTAAATTGTTGAGAAAAGATTAATGAAAGACACTTAGAATTGACTTCCTTCCTTATCCATCTTTTGTAATGACTATGTCCATTAAGCACATCAATTAACCTAACAATGTTGATGTCACCTACTCAAATCGTCCATGTTGATTTCTCACACATGAAATTCATAAGAAAACCTAATAAATGTTGATTTCGCACACAATGAAGAAATTTCACACACAATCAAATATGCTCTAAATTTTCTCAATGCATATACTATAGATAATAATTCCTTTTCAGTAGTTGCATAATTAATTTGGATTGCATTAAGAACTTTGCTAGCATAATGTATAGCATGAAAAATCTTAGATTTTCTTTGGTATAATACTGCTCCAATAGCATAATCACTTGCATCACACATTAATTCAAAATATAAATTCCAATCAGGTGCAATTATCATAGGGGCTAAAATTAATTTTTGTTTTAACAATTCAAAAGCACGCAAACATTCAACATTAAAATTAAAAGAAATATCCTTATTGAGCAAGTTACTGAGTGGCTTTGCAATCTTTGAGAAGTCTTTTATAAATCTTCTATAGAATCTAGCATGTCCTAGAAAGCTTCTGATGCCCTTCACATTTGTTGGTGGTGGTAATTTCTCAATGATTTCTACTTTTGCTTTATCAACTTCAATACCTCTTGCAGAAATCTTATGGCCTAATACCATACCTTCAGTTACCATAAAATGACATTTTTTCCAATTTAAAACTAAATTGGTATCAACACACCGCTTCAGTACAGTATTTAGGTTCCTTAAACACTGGTCAAATAATGTACCAAATACTGAAAAATCATCCATGAAAACTTCTATGCTTGTTCCACCAAATCTGAGAAGATTGCTAACATGCATCTTTGAAAGGTTGTTGGGGCATTCCATAATCCGAATAACATTTTCCTGTAAGCAAACACACCAAAAGGACAAGTAAAAGCAGATTTTTCTTGATCCTCTGGATTTAGTGTTATTTGATTATACCCTGAATAACCATATAAAAAACAATAAAAAGCTTGTCCTGCTAATCTTTCTAACATTTGATCCATGAAAGGTAAAGGAAAATGATCTTTTCTAGTTGCCTGATTCAATTTCATATAATCTATACACATTCTCCAACCTGTGACAGTCCTAGTAGGTATTAATTCATTTTTATCATTATAAATTACAGTCATACCTCCTTTTTTCACGACTACCTAAACTGGGCTAACCCAAACACTGCTATAGATAGGATAGATCATACTAGCATCTAACAATTTCAACACTTCCTTCTTTACCACCTCTTTCATGGTTGGATTGAGACGTCTTTGAGGTTGTGCAACAGGCTTGAAATCATTCTCCATGTGAATCTTATGCATGCAATAAGATGGACTGATTCCTTTGAGATCAGATAATGTCCACCCTATGGCCTTCTCATTATCTTTCAGAACTGAGATCAACTTTTCTTCTTCAGAATTGGTTAAAGCATTGTTGAGCACCACTGATTTGTTGCCTCCATCTGCAAGGAAAACATATTTTAAGTGAGGAGGTAATACCTTTAATTCCAGCTTCTGACTCTTAGTTTCCTGTTCTTGCTGAAATTTCTTAGATTGTTGTTCTTTTGAAGTAACCTCTTGTACTGAATCAAGATGTTTTAAATATTTCTCAATTTCTTCATCTTTTTCATCAAATTCATCATTAACACCTATCAAAGTTTTTTCTAACGAGCTTGCTTTGGTTAGTTGTTTCCTTGTTGCTTGAACAATATCATCTACCACATTCATCCTAAGACAGTGTTGTTTATCTGAGTGATGCCATAATGCTTCAAATACATTAAAATTAACTTCCTCATTTTCTACTCTAACCTTTAATTTGCCATCATCCACATCAATAATAACTTTAGCTGTCTTCATGAAAGGCCTTCCCAGTATAAGAGGAACTTCAGTATCTTCCTCCATATCCATCACAAAAAAATCAACTGGGAACATAAATTTATCAACTCTGACCAAAACGTCCTCCGCCACACCATAAGGAAATTTTAGAGATCTGTCAACTAGCTGAAGTGTCATTCCTATAGGCTTTACTTCCAAATCTCCTATTCTTTTAAGCATAGAGAAAGACATGAGATTTATACTAGCACCCAAATCAAGTAATGTCTTACCTACTTGCAATGTTCTAATTGTAACTGGTATAGTGAAACTGCCAGGATCCTTGGACTTTTGAGGTAATGATTTCGGAATTATAGCACTGCATCCTACTTCTAACTCCACTATTTCTGTAGTGAAGCTCCTTTTCTTAGTTAACAACTCTTTCATGAATTTTGCATAAGTTGGCATATGCTCCATAGCTTCCACAAATGGAATATTAATTTATAATTGCTTGAAAATATCCATGAATCTTGCAAACGGTCTTTCTTTATCTTTCTTGGAAGGATGACGAGGATATGGTAAATCCTTTAGTTGCGGTATTTGATTCTCAAATTTCTCCTTTCTTTTCTCACTATTGTTACTTTTTTTCTCTTCTTTTTTAGTATTTTTTTCTTTTTCTAAATTCACACTTTTATTTTTCTCTTTTTCTCCTTCACACTCATTTTCTTTACCCTCTTTTTCTTGTAAGACTTCCTTCTCTACAGCTAGGTTGTCACCAATCCATTCTCCTATAACCTTACCACTCCTTGTAATTATTGACTTACATTGCTCCTTTGGATTAGTTTGTGCGTTAGCTGAAAACTGTCCTCCTTGCTGTTCAAATAATTGTTTAGCCAATTGGCCCACTGTTAAATTATTGGCAAGCGTACCAAAATTATCAATCGCAGTATAGTATTTCGATTAAATAAAAGTCGATCCCACGAGGAACAGTTTCAATGGAAATTCCCAATTAT